TCTCGTTTAGTAAAAAATTCGAGTAAATATTTTTATTGTATCGATAACGAAAATTGTTAGAAGTGGACTTGCAAAATTTATATTGACTCGAGTTTGCGATTAGTCAATAAAATTCTAATAGATTGAATTATTTTATTTGTGAAATGGGTTTAAGATTGATACTAAAACACTTTAGTTTCGCCGAGACTTGAATGGAATACTTACAATCGTTACTTTTGCTTGTAACGGTTTATTTATTCTTGTACGAAATTTCAACTATTGTAATTACCTTAATCGGCCAACAATGACTAATAATAAAAGCCCCGAGGTATCTTAATTATTATATTGTATACATACACGTATTGCGCCGTGTCTGCAAATCGAATGATAAAGAACAGTGAAGAGTGGTGTGGTATTGCATGTGCTAGATGACCTAAGTGTATGGCATAAAGGTCAGGATCACGTATGTCGAATGATAACGAAAACATAGTAAAAGTAAAGAAATTATTAATTAGATAATCAACGAAACCTATTAGTATTTATTTTTTTTATTCGACCATTTATTTCAAAAAAAAAAAAAAACAAAATGTATAATAATAAAAAAATTCGCAATTTAAAACCATAGATAACCTTCAATAGCCGCACTTTTAAACTTATCTAAACAATTTAAAACAATAATTATCGCTAAGATTCAATAGTGCATTCGTATCGGGGTGTCCAAAATATAATAAAAAAACCGTTTCAGTAAAAAAATCAGCAAATATTTCAGGTAGAATGGAAATATGTCCAACGGGAATTTTTTTACAATCATGTAAAATGTTTCAAAATTGTTACTAGGAAAAAATAATTAGCAATTATTTTTAAATAAGGTGTGTATACTTGAAATATCAAGTAAACATTTTTATAATAAAAAAAAGTGCATACAGATAATTAGATACTAAATACGTGAAATCAATTGGTAATATGCCATTAAATATGTACATAAAAAAGATTAATACGCCCAAATAGATAAAAACTGAATAGAGAATTATTAACTACAATAGGAACCTCTTGGAGATATTGAGCTACTGTTTATGTCTATAATGAATTAAACATAGTACTGAAAATGTTTCTTTGAATTTAATACGAGTCATCGCTGTTGAGTCAACTAAATAATTTTAAGTAGAAATCAATTTTATCTAAACTGATTTGTATACAAAAGAGGAGTGTTTTGCAATAACAATAAGAATTTTTGCAAATATATAAGTCGACTTGCTCACGTCAAATCATTTCTATCCCGTACCGCCTTAATGATTAATCGATAATACTTATTATATGATAAATTGTATTATATTGCATCAAATTCTCATAAACACGTATTAATTCTTTTTAATTATCCTCACGAGACAGTTAATTTGGTAATTAAAAATTTTCGTAAATGACTAATGCCGGCAATAAACAAAAGAGAAAAAATAATGGAATAATGATTGCGTTCATTCATTGACCATTCTTAATAACGTTATATACGATAGACCAACTGTCCTAACACCTTTGCACGACTGTCGTTTTTGTCCTCTTTATTGTACATTTAAACCATTTTTCTATTTTCGAAGAAAAGTAGTATAATTAATTAATATTTGTATTATTCAAAACACACGACGTCAACACAGACATTAACCCCTTGGCAGCACGACTCTTTCACATGTATCTGGTAGTTGTTACGACCGAGTTACCTATTTTTTACGAATCAACTTATAAAACGTATTATTCGATGTATTGTTATGGAAAGAATGTGAACTTCGATCGACTGATTTTATTTATATTATTTTAAAATTTAAAACACCGTATCTAACGTGTTGCATTGAAAACACGAATAGTTTAAAACTATAATTTGTATACGACTTATTTACTCCGATCAAGAAACTTTGATCCAAGTTAAGAATAATAAAATAAAATAAACGAAATGATTAAATAATTTTTTCTTAAATAAGTTCATCAGTTGGTGCAGCACATTGTAGAATACATAATAAACTACAATAAAACCATAGTAACAGAATGTTTGATGTTTTTATTTCAATGTGTATTTTCCATAACAAAAATATCTAGTTGATAGAAAAACTTGAAGGGTAAAATAATTCAAAGTACTTGAAAAATATTATCGAATACTATGATCACAAAATTTCATTGAAACTTGCCCCAAAAATTGAATAAAAATTAGAATTAATTTGTAACATAATCATAGTTCAAAAACAACATAGGGTCATGTGTGCGCCTAATGAATTTAATAGCGTAGTAATGAGACTAACGCAAGGAATAAAATTTACAAAATTTAGCACTGGTACTTAGATAATACAACTAAATAACTTATATATTTGGCTATTCGGATTTGTTACATACTCTTTAGTATTATGCATTGCAGTGGTATAGCCAAGACGAAGTTAAAAGAGCTATAGCCAATTATTACTAATTAAAGTATATGACTTTGGTATTTATAACAGTGTGTGATAAACCAAAAAAAAGATCTTTAGCTCCCCCCAAACAAAAATTCTAGCTACATAACTGATACGGCATCGTCGTACTCTGTGTTAAACCAGATACTCATTTGAGTCTCTCTTATTTTATCAACAGGCTATCTATAGGCACGATAACCGGTGGTTGATTACACATTACCGTTTACGACACAGGGGATAAAAAAACCATAAATCCACAGGCAGTCCGTCGACTATCGGTCGTAGTATTATCGTTGTGTTTCTTGACGCCTTTGAGTAATCGCCTACTGTCTCTACGCTTGAGTCTACTGAAATCCTTTGCCAACTCTTCTAGCATCTCGCATAATTAGATCCTTATTGATCTATTTAGATTAAAAGTTATTTGTTTTGCATTGTTAATGTAAGTAATCCTATAGTACGGGTAATATTCGTAGCTACCAACTGAGATTCTATTATTAGTAGTAATTAATAAAAGGGCCGCTTCCTTTCTAATGTCTTATTAAAAATATTGTGCCGACTACGTTATTTCACAGTGCACTTTGGGTCACCTTATTCTACCTACTGAGTCAACAACGACGCCCTAGGTACTATTTCAATTGTCATTAAATATTCATTTACTTATAATCTTGATACGCAATTTTTCACGTGATACGCGACATATCGATAAATACACAAATACTCATAAATATAAGTGAACTGTTTAGTATACCCTCTAATGCAACTGCCATAACCGCAGTGTATTGCTAACGGGTATCCACAAAAATATATAATTCGATAATTAACGGACGTTAGTAATAAAATAAGAATGTGCGGCTAACTGACGCGACAAATTAACATTTACTTAACATTCTTAACCTCTTCAATGAAGATTTAACTTTTTTAAATGTTCCATTGATTAAAGCTAAGTAGTATAATATAGTCACATCAATGAACTGTTATAAAAAGCATATCTCATTTGAGCTGACATAACAACTTGTAGCTAACTTAGCACTAACAAAGTAAAACGGAACCTTCTAGAAATTTAAAAAGGTTATAGATAGTAGTTCAGTAATATTATTATGCCTACAATTCGATAAATCAAAACTCAAGTGCCTATTATACAACATTAACCGATATTTTTTAGAAATAATTAAGTGAATCATTTATTTTAAATCAGTTTTTAAAATAATCTATTCGATTTTTAATAAATACACGATTGATTTGTAAACATTTTTTTTAAAAATCGTTGAAATTCATATTTTTAAAATTCATATAAGTAATACTAATCAACTGAACAAGACTATTATTAAATATTATCATTAAAATATTCCAATGATTTGAATGTAGTGGTTTAAAATTACCGTAATAATCTTTTAAACTTATTTTTTTTATATTTTACAATATTGTAAGATTGGCCTGAATAGCTAACAAATATAACAATTGGTCACATCCAAATTTATCTTGACATAATTTGATCAAACAAAGTTAGAGATAGTTGTAGTTTACTTCAAATAATAGTTAGCCAACTATCAAATATTATGTTTTAAGAATTTACAAACGCTTTATAGTTTTATTTAGAAGTAGTCAAATTTTACTTGGTGAACAAATTGAGCCCATTTTACAATAATTATATAGAATTTTTTTTTGACTGAGAATTTTTCGATTGCATCAACATTAATGTATTTTTTGTGTTAGGTTATTATTTTTAGTTTTCCTTTAAAAAAATTAACAACAGTGAAAATTCTTTAAAAGCACATCTACAGTAAAATTTCTTTTAAATTTGTAAAATTTATATCGGAAATAACATTTTTTAAGTTATTCTTTTCGAATAAATAAATAAAAAATTGTGTATTTTAAAAGTCAATACTAAAATTATAAACAGGCATCGAAGCTAGAAAATTCTACTTAAATAATTATTTTTATTATATATACTAATTTATTAATATAATATAATGAATATAATATAAAAAAAATTTTTTAATTTATTTATTATAATATATTATTGTCAGATTAAAAATTAATCTAACCAATTTTTAATGCATGTATTATCCTAAATTTTTTATGATATATGTTAACCTCAGTGTTGATATAATTGTATATGATATAGTTAATAGGTCAATCATTTACATATTTAAAATTTTATATAACCCAATTGAACATTATGTAATTCAAATAGATCTTGTAGAACTTAAATGAACTTGAACTAGAGAAATTTATTGAAGTGCAAACATTTTTCAGAAAATATACCATATGTTATATGAAATTAATTTTATAATTAAGTAAACGGTATTATGCGAGCTGTATTTAAAAAGTTTTTATTAAAAATCAGTTAGACGATACGATTTAATTTTATTAAAATACGTGTAAAAATTACATTACACAAGATGTAATTTTTTTTTCATTAATTCTTTAAAACTTAATATTCTTCCAAGACTCCTAAGAATTTATTTGATATTTCAAAAATAAAAGGTACACTATCAGATAATTAGAAAGCATTTACATTCGAGTAAAATTAATAAGCGAACAGAAAATTTATTTCATAAAGAAACAAATAAAAATAATAGTTTTCTATACCTGGTTTGTAGGTGCGTGTTCCTGTTTTTCTAAGTCTTTAACCATTTGTTTCTCACTCATTGTGAAAGAATTTGACGGTTATGGATTTGAATATGTCAACAATGCGTTTAATGATTTCCTTCAGGTGTTGTGGCCGTCCACGCGTTGAACGCGCGACAGACGGTTTTTTATTTGTGCGCGTACGGGTACACGGGACCGACCGGTGTCGTTGGCTAGGGATGACTGCCAAGGGTGTACTCCGGTGAGAATGTGGGACGCCCGAGCTGGGGGCTTATCGGATGATTTACAATAATACTCGAATGTATAGTTGATAGTAGAAACCCCAACGTTATCGAGCGACTACGCGCCTGTCCAGCCTTTTCTGTTCTCTTCGTCCTGCACACGACCAAACGCGTTGTGTCAATGCGCATCAGTAGCAACAGCGGCGGCGTACACGAGCACTCTCCATTCAGCGTAACTGCCACTGTATCCTTCCCACCGCCAACCGTACCTTTCGTGCCGGTAAATGTACAACCGTCTGACCAACCAACCTATTTGATACGGTTAAAGTACGTCACATACAAACCATTTGCCACCACCACTCCTCTCTTGTCATGGAGGCCAATTATCTTTGAGATTAATAACCTAATCAGAAGCCATCCAATACAATTATTATAAAACTATTTACGTGTGCCTTACAATAAACAAGTGATTTAGGTATCTATTCAAATGACAGTGGACCTTTAAAACTTCATAGATTACAGGTGACTTAAAATCGATTAATACCTCCTCAATCACGTTGGTTGGTAATTAAGAATCAAAACTAAAAATTTAAACTATCACGAGTAAAACACAAATAGTTGAAATTCTGATGGCTTTTAATATTAAGTATATATCGAATCGACTAATTGTCATTTAAATATCTTTATAATGTCTACTACACATGGTGGCGGTACAAACAATTATTGAGTTTTATTTATTTAATTTTGGATGACCATGATAATTAAACACTTTAACATGTTATTTCATGCGTAATGCACGAAAGGTAGTTTGAAAAAATATTACAAATCAAAGAACAGTTATTTTAACTAGTAGAAATATTATAAATATAAAGTATTTAGGCTTAATAACATTTGTATAATTAATTTTTGAAAATTTTTAATTATTTCATGTTAAAATTATAATTTTTATGTTACTTAATGTGTAAATGTAGAAGAATAATAAGAGTGCATAAATGTAATAATAAGTCAATTTAACCGATACATTGAATATATATATATATATATTATTGATGGAACAACCAGTTTTTACGTGAATTTGCTGGACTTGAAGTCAGGTTTTAATATGTAATAAACGTTTTATAGTTACTCGGAAGTTTTATAGCCTATAAAATTAAGATAATACATCTTAAAAATTAATGTAAAATATCTAACATAAATCTATTAGAGTTAATGGTAGAAATAAATGTAAATTAATTTAGTCTCTGCATCGTATTATTAATACATCTTAAAAAACCAGCTCAGAGGGGTCGCGACATAGTTGGCATAAATATAGATAATATTTGACAGCGACTAACATCACTGCCATAGAAAACGCTTCTATATAGTCTGTGATTTATTATTTCATTCAAATATTAAATGATTGATAAATTATTTGCTTAATTGAAAATAACGTTGTTTTTACTTTGGTGGTCAATTTACAATGTCATAGTAAAATAATCGTCGGAATATTTTTTTTAGTATATTAGTACATTATATATATATATATATAATATATATATTATACTATATATATTATATATATAGTATAGTACATTTTGACAGCATTTAAAATATTGTGCAGAAAATTGTTTTTTTCATATGTGGGGGTGTGTTGTCTTTCAAACCATTTCTGTACTTAAGAATTTGTGATATTTTACAAAAAACATATCAAAGTAAATTATTTTTAGCGTAATCTATAAAAATTTAATTTGAATTGGTGTTAAGAAAAAAGGTTTATCAGTTTTAAAATGCAGAAAATAAATCTTCAAAATACTAATTTTTATAGCAGTGTAATTTTGAGACATTTTTTTTAATTTCTAAAATTGATGGTTTTTATTTTTCTATTTTTTTAGTGTTGATTGGTTTAATTAGATTAAAATCAGAATATTTTACGTATTGATGATTAAAATCTGTCCAGTGAGAGCTAAGAATTTTCATTTATAAACATAAAAATAACCCATAGACACTACTAGAAAACTAATACCTTTTCGGCCTTACATCGAATCTAATTAAATTAATACTATTATTTGTCTTGGGCATAATTAGTATTAAAAAAAAAAAATTTTTCATTTGAAATTTTATTTTACTAGTTTTTAATTATAAAAACCAAATTTTCAACTTTTAAAAACAATGCTATTTTAAATTATTATTATTAAAATTTAAGTATTTATCTAATTTTCTGGTTTTTACTTTTTAATATAACTGTTTATTTAATTTCCTTTTCAGCACATAGCTGAATTATTAGTAAGACAAACCAATAATTACGTCAATGTCATATTTTTAATTATTCAGTTTTTGTAAATAAAAAACATTTTAATTTTGGCAATGCGGAAACAATGTACACTACTACGTCAAAAAGAAAAAAAAATGATATAACACTATTTGACTGTAAGTGATATATTATTATTATGACTAATGTAAACTAAATTTCCCCTCTAGACTGCATTAATGCATAATACTCAAATTATTTTCAAAATTTAAAATGCAACTACACTTATATAACAAATCTAATAAAAAACACATCAAATTTAAATCAAATTTTTTAATTTTTCGAATGCAGGCCTAGTAAGTAAAAGTATTTTTATAGTAAGATAGTAAGTTTTTTCAATACTAACATTACTCAATAAAAAGTCTTCGTGTGGAGATTTCATAACGGAAAGTCTTTGTTTTTTTTTTAATTATCTCTATAAGTTTGTACATGATATTTAACTTGATATAATCAAAATAAATCATAATAAATATAATAATAAACTGAAATTTGTTACCATTTAATAATTATTTATGTTTGAATGATAAATTGCAAGGCTATTAATACTTAGCAAATTTTTTCTGTTACAGTAACATTAGTAAGTAATAAAATCAAAAAAAAAAAAAGTAATAAAAATAAATCTAGTCTTTTCTCAAGTCTCTTACTACATAGATATTAGACTAAAAAAAAATGTTTTATAAAATAACAGTATACATTAAAAAAAAATTCTCATCCAAATTTTACTTTTATTAGACAATCCAGGGTCTCTCAAAAGCATTTTTCTTTTCATTTAAATAACATTACGAATCATGATTTTGAAATAAAAAAAATTTATTACTTAAACTGCGATAACTTTTTGAAATATGTATGGATCAATACAATTTTGTTTTTTATAGATATATGAGGTATTTACTATACCTATCATCTTGTATATTTTTATTATATATCTAACCCTTCAACTGCCCACAGAGAGGATTCAAAATGACAACTTTTTCATAAAAAATTAACTTTTAAAAATGTTCCGGAAATACTGACACTTATATATATATATATAAAATTAATAATGATGTACAAATTTAAATATGAAAAAAAAAAATTTCGAACTTAATTTTATTTTCTTGGTGAAAAAGAACATCAAAGTTAATAAAAAAAATACCATTTTTGTAAAAAAATTCCTTTTTATATTTTTAACTTTATAATGCTATAACATTTCTCAAAATGTTATAGCATATTATAGCATTCCTATCATTTGGTATATATATTTGTTTAATCTGACCTATCACCTGTTCACAAATTCGAATTCAAAATAACAACTTTTTCACAAAAAATTAACTTTTTTAGCTTACCTTTTTAAATTGTTCCGGAAATACTGACACTTTTATATATTAAAGTATAATATAAGTAAAATTTATCTTAAATTGAAGCCTATGTAAAGTACTTTAATTGGAAAAAAAAAATTTCGAAATTTATTTTATCTTCAATATGAAAATGACTACCGTATTCAAAAATATGCTAATTTTGTGTTATAATTCTCGGTTTTTTATTTTATTTTAAAATACCATACAAAGGTATTGTAGGTTCAACTACAAAATTAAATAATTTTACTTTGTAATTTATTAATTTTTCAACTTTATTTGTGTGTGTTACCACCAGTCTATGATATTCCAAATGTTTTGGTAACATGTTGCTATATAAATCATAAATCTAAAGAAAAATTATTTTTAGTTTCACCTGAATTTAACAAAAAAATTTTACAATTATAATCACTTTTTATAATACGCTCAATTGAGTAAATTTTTTTTACAACATTTTGATTGGTTTTTTTAGTTAAAGTAAATCATTAAAATTAAATAAGTTCTGAATAGTTCAATTGTAGAATCTTTTTAAACACCAAAAGTTACTTAGAAATGATTACTATGATTTCTATTTAAGTGATCTATTACAATAAAAATGCAAAAAATATTGAGTTTTTTTGATAAATTTACAGCAAATCGTAATTATATAATTTCCTGACTACATATTAATTTTAACAATGCTATTTTTTTTCCAAAAAAATGTTCTACTTAATAATGAATCTTTCAAACTTGTAGTTGAGCTAAAAGTTATGGTATCAAATTCAACTTTTTTTTTTTATTATAAGCTTTCAAAAAATTAACTTTAAAAGACCAAAAAATACGTTAAAATTGATATTTTGCACTGATTATTTTTAATATATTAAAATTAAAAATCTTTAATAATTTTATAAACAATTTGTTTGTGTTTTTAATTAGTTTTTTGTCGTAATAAATCATTTCAAAAGAAATATTAATAATTTCTATGTAAATCTTGGTGTTTACATAGATAATATAATTGAAATATTCAGAACTGTTTTCCTTATAATTATATCTTATAGTTTTTAACTAATTAGTAATAACATCAAAATTATTGATCTTAAAAAAAATATAATTGCTGTTTTGAAATTAGCACGAAAAATTGAATAATAAAAATACATTTTTGACTTCGATAAAAATTTTTTGTACAACATTTATTCATAATTAACAATAAATTATTATCTAAAAAGTTGTGTGTCAAGCCTTTCAATTTGTATACACGTTTGCCATAAAAGTAATAACTACTTTATAATTTTTCACAAATTCTCCGAAAAAATTACAATACTAAATTATTAAATATCAATCTCATACTAATTTAATTGATGTAATAAATATTTACTCATATATTATACTTCTAAATCAAAGAACTACTAATGAGTAATAATAAAGGAAATAGGAATTAATTTTGCATTTGGTTTAATCCACCAACTTCTTTAAGACACTCAAAGTTTGTGGGTTACGTTTAAAACATTCTACAAGTGTTTTCACTCCAATACATTAAACCCTCTGATTTTTTATCTATTTGTCCACTCTATCCCTGGTGATCCCAGAAGGCGCCTAAAGTGAACGCGGTGTCACGTTATACTGGTTGGCCTTTTTCTATCAAGCCTGTCTTTATATATTACTTTATATATTTTC